GGTAACCTCCAAGCTTGGTTGTTTTCTTGCAGACGTTTCATTACTCAACTAGGTAAGATCAGCAGATGAGGTTGATGAGGTTGTCTACCGTAGTCGGGTAATGAAACCTCTGCAAGCAAAGCTCAGAGAGCACCAAGGACCCCACAGTTCATCCCTGGGCTACAAATATTCTCTTCTAGTGGTAGCTCTGATCTAATTACGAAGAGAACATTTGAGCCAAAGTTTCTCCTCGTGCTTCCCAAGAACAACTCTTTGCTCCATGAAAGGAGGTCTATAATGTCCTTGCTATACGGCAGTGGGAGAAACATCCCTGCTAATCAAGACACGGCCCTAAAAAGAGACAGTATTCTCTCTCTCTCTTGCTTGGAAAGGATTTGAATTGGTGCGGCACGATTTGGCCAGCGATAAATCGCCTTGCTGCAACCTAACTTTCCTGCCCTGCTCCCAGTTCCCCTTCGTGAGTGGGTATCTTCCACTCCAGCGTGTGACCTTGATCTAACTTGGATTTCTTTTGTTGTTTTGTTGTCTCTTGTGTCGTTCCTTCGCTCCGCTTTCCTTTTCTGTCCGGGAACACGTCGACTGTCTGATCTCCTGATTTGCCAGTGGTGAAGCAGCGCATGCAGATGTACAATTCTCCGCACAAGACAGTCACGGATTGCATCAGGACCGTGCATCGGACGGAAGGCCTGGGTGCCTTTTACCGTAGCTACACCACCCAGCTCAGCATGAACATCCCTTTCCAAGCCATCCACTTTATCACCTACGAGTTCACGCAAGAGCAACTCAACCCCCAGCGACAATACAACCCTTGCTCGCACATCATTTCGGGGGCCGTGGCGGGAGCAGTGGCGGCCGCGGCTACCACCCCCCTGGACGTTTGCAAGACCTTGCTCAACACTCAGGAGAACGTGGTGTTGAGTTCCGTGAACATTAGCGGGCATCTCTCTGGCATGGCCAACGCCTTTAGAACGGTCTATCAACTGGGAGGGATCCCCGGGTACTTTAAGGGAGTCCGAGCACGTGTGATCTACCAGATGCCTTCAACTGCCATCGCCTGGTCCGTCTATGAATTTTTCAAGTACATCCTTACCAAACGCCAGTTGAAGAAAGGCGCTCCTTGTTGACGGATCACCCCTAGCAACTGCAGACAAAATATCTGAGGAAGCTGTTGGCCTCTCTCTCTCTCTGTAAACTTCACCAGGTTCTTGATGGCCGTTTGTAAAGAGAGCTGGTGGATCCCTGACTGGATTATATCTCTCTCTCTGTGTGTGAGCGTGTGTGTTTGTGTGTGCGCGCACACCGCAGTGTCTTTTGGAGAGAAGGTGGTTCTCTACCCCTTTCTCCTCCTGCTTTGGCTGAACCAAAATGTTTATTCTTCTAGACGTGTATTTATAGTTTTCGAGGGCGTTGATAAGCATGATAAGATTTGGACAAGTTTGTACTTATTTTTTCACGGGAATGCTTGGGGGAGGGGCCTAACCTGGGGAGGGTTGTTGGGGTGGTGGTGGTGGTGGGAGACGGATACTTGTGCTTTGGGCAGCTTTTCCGAAAAGCCGATGCCTTTAAACCAGGGGCCTCCAACCTTAGCAACGTTACAGGACTTGTGGACTTCAACTCCCAGAATTCCTCAGCCAGCCATGCTGGCTGAGGAATTCTGGGAGTCGAAGTCCACAAGTCGTAACGTTGCAAAGGTCGGAGACTCCTGCTTTAAACCGAACAGAGTTCTACACAGAGACATTGTGCGATGGATAAAATAGATGGATAATGTTTATCCTTTATTTTTCTATTATTATTATTTTTTTTTAAAGAAAAAAAAATTGTGCCAGGGTGACTGCTTTGTGAATTTTTAAAGGGCTTTCCTCTTTTTTGTTGTCGTTGTTCCATTGCTAAGAAGCGTATTTTTTCCTCCTAAACTAGAATAGCGTCAGACACATCTGGTCTGACCTTAAGCAGGCTGTTAATGGTTTTATTTTCCTTCCAACGTACTTGAAGGCATTTGAGAACCAGGGGTGTCTGTGTGGTGGGGAGAGGGGGGTCAAAATATTCAGATTATGGCTCTTATGATCAAAGACCAGCCTTTTGGGGGAGGTGTGTGATGCTGAAATACAAAAAAAAAAAAAAAAGCTTGGTTTTGTTTGTGCGGCCACAGCTATGGATGTCACTTTGACTTTAGTCTCTCTCTCTCTCACACACACACACACACACAAACACAACACTCCCTCCAGATGCTCTTGTTTCAGACTCTGGAAATCCCAAGGATTTATGTTACGTCTTTTCCTTCTTAAGCATGTCTGAACTGCTTCTGATAATAACCATTCAAACCTTTTTCCTGTGGTCCCGCTTTAGCAGGTGTTTAAACTTCTGAAGGTACTCCAATGAATTGCATCTCATGTTTGGATTGTCATTGTGGTCTTTTAATTTATTTCTGCTTCTCACCAAAGCGCTGCTTCTCTTCGGCCTCTCTTCTCTCTGGCCCTAAGCCAGGCTTAATACTTTGACACACAAGTATATTGCACTCACATGTAAATGAACACTCAGCAAACTCTGCTCAGGAATTGGGGCGTCAGGTTTACATTTCTGCAATAAAACTTGCCTTGAGTTGCTTCTCTAAAAATACTGACAGAGGAAGGCAGACACTCAACTGGCGTTCCATTTTGGTACTGAAAACCCTTAGTGAAGGAAGGGTTTCAAGTCCAACTGAACTCCAAAGTTAAGAAAAAGAAAAACGAGGGCGACGTATTGCATCTGTGAGCATTGTTTTTCAGGTACTTGATCTATTAAAATGAAGATGCATAGAGTCATTTTAGCACTTGGGACAAATTTGGGTGTGCCACTGTAAAAAGGGTATGGAGTCCTAAATCAGTGGTTCTCAACCTGTGGGTCGGGACCCCATTTGGGGTCGATTGACCATTTCACGGGGGTCGCCAAGCAAGGCTGTCCGCCATTTTTTTGTCCGCCATTTTTTTCCCCTTTTCCGGCGGGTGCCTTACCTCCCTTGGGCTGGGCCAGCTGGTGGTCGGCCTGCTCCGTATCTGCCGCTTGCCAGCTACGCCTCGGCCGGTGCAGGGGGCGGAACCACGCATGCGCGGCGCTCCTGGGCAGGGAAAGTCCTCGACTTACGACCAGTTGGGTAGTCCTCGACTTATGACCGGTTTAGTCCTCGACTTACGACCGGTTGGGGTCGCGGCATTAAAAAAGTTGAGAACCACTGTCCTAAATGAATGTTTTTTTCCCTCCTTATCTAAAGAGTATTGTGTGGAAACAGAGATTGCAACTGGACATCATGTCCTCAGTTTACTTGCTAACTAATGTTCTAAAGCAATGATTTTGACAAATAACCTGGCCTTGCAGACACCATGCATTTAATGGGAATGCTGTCCAGGCTTATTCTATGACGAGTCGCTAATCTCCTTTTGTGTATAGGGCAGAAACTTAGTTTTAAAGCTTTATAAATGTTGGCTACTTAGATCAGGATGCTTTCAGAGGGTGTAGTTTCCCAGCCCTGGTGGAAATGAAACAAAGCAATAGCCCAAGAAGTATTTCCTTGGTGACTTCAGGAAATACTATTGCTTATACTAAATATTGTAAAGATTGACAGCAATATTTTCCAACTGGACTTTTTCCCCCCCAACGGTGTGAGGATTGCAATGGAGGATTCCCAGCCAGCCTTGGGAGGGGAAAAAAAATCCGAAGGTGCACGCCTTCATAACTTCATAAAGCTACGTTTTGTTCCAAATAGAGAATTTACAATGCCAAAACATTGTTTTTAAGTCATTCCATCATATTTGCAGGCTTTGAAAGGTTAAAAAAAATCATATGAACCAGATTTAAATTGGTGTTTTTCACCATTTGGCAATTGTAAGATGAGGGGACCAACTTCCAGAAGTCCACACACTTTGAAGTTGCTGTTGGAAGAAACACTGGTTTTGAAAGTACACCATACTTAAGAATCGAGTTCCAGTTTGTACGAGAAAAACAAAAGTAGGTTGAATTGCTGGCTGATTGTTCCGAAGGCTATACTACATGTGACTATAGCAAACCGATTGTCGTGTGTCTGACTAATGAAACACTTCAAAGAACTTTCAGGCATGGTTTAACCTAAAAAAGCCTTTTATTAGTGTAGAGGCGTGTCAGCACAGCATGATGGATGCCAAGATCTGAATTTCCCTTCCCTTTGCACATAACATTCCAGGCATTTCCCCTCCCCTATTTTGGGGTCATGATTCACATCTTCCAATTAACCTGGAGGGCAAAGATTCACTTCCATTCCTTTTCCCGGGCTTTCCTTACTATTCTCCCTTTTCTCTGTCATCTGAATTAACTCTAAAATTACCAGACAGTTCTGCATATTTTGTCAAAGCAAGAATATTCAATATTAGCAGCGTTGACACCGGTGTTGTTAAATAGAACTGTTCTTCAACAGGGTCAAAATGAAAATAACTTTTAAAACGCAAAAGAGTCGTGGAGAGAGGGGCTTCTGGAACAATTCCTTTTTCCCCCCTCCTTGCTGCTTTGCTTTTGGGTCTTAGAAATACTCCCCAAGTAATGTACCCACCAACATGGAGTTCCCATCCTAAAAGTGGGCTGGATTGAAGGAGAACATAATGGTGGTATGTAAAGACAGTGAATATGAGTTAGCAGNAAAAAATATATACTTATAAGTTTAAATCGGAATGTGCAAGAGTCACCCTGAAGTACGGTATGTTGGAATTGAAGTATTTGCAGGGAAAATTCCCAATGGGTGACAACATCTGAATTCTGATGCATAACTGAATACACAACACAGGTAGTCCTTGACGTACCACAGTTCTTTTAGTGACCGTTCAAAGTTACAATGGCACTGAAAAAATTGACTTACGACCTTTTTTCACAATTAACGACCTTTGCAGCATCCCATGATCATGTAACTAAAATCCAGAGGCTTGGCAACTGGTTCATATTTATGGCAGTTGCGGTGTTCCCCAGGGGTCCTGCGATCCCCTTTTGCCACCTTATAATAATAATAAAGTTGGAAGGGACCTTGGAGGTCATCAAGTCCAACCCCCTGCTCAGGCAGGGAACCCTATACCATTTTGGACAAATGGCTGTCCAGTCTCTTCTTAAAAACTTCCAGTGTTGGAGCATTCACCGCTTCTGGAGGCAGGTTGTTCCACTGGTTAATTGTTCTAACTGTCAGGAAGTTTCTCCTTAGTTCTAGGTTGCTTCTCTCCTTGATTAGTTTCCATCCGTTGCTTCTGACAAGCAAAATCAACAGGAGAAGCAGATTCACTTAACAACTGTGTTACTAGCTTAACAACTGCAGTGATTCATTTAAAAACTGTGGCAAGAAAGGTCGTAAAATGGAGCAAAACTCAGTTGACAAATGTCTCACTTAACAACAGAATCTTTGAGCTCAATTGTGGTCGTAAGTTGAGGACTACCTGTCATTCTTAAAATGCCTTGGCATTCTGAATCATCCTTTTCTGCTGAGTTGAGCCCCACTGTATGCTGGATTAGAATCTACTAATTCTACTAAGTAGTAGAATTCTCTACTACTATTAGCAGCTCCAACCAAAGGCCTTGAAAAAAAGGGAAGCAAGGTTCTGCCAGTGTGGAAGTACCAGTCCTGCTGCTTTGTATGCTACGGACGCACATTTTTTTAAAATGATTTTTTCAAAGCTGACATTTGCCGTTTGAAAATTGCCTTCTTACAAATGTACCAATGTAGACTTTTACAAGGAATATTTGTATGTGTATATACAATCATGCTTGTGGGCGTGCGCACACACAAACACACACACACCTATACCCAGCAGAAGAAAATATGTTTTGAAAGGCTGCTACAGTTAAAACACTGGGCTCATTAAAGTAATAAAAAAAATGTGTTTGATTTATTAGCAAGATCGTGTTTTTTTTCCTCCCCAAAAGCTGATTTATCGGCTGCTAAAATGCTCATTGACTAAAAATGTTTCTTGGGACCATTATTGTAGTGGGTCTAGGATTTCCTTTCTCCATTTAACAGGAGCTGATGGCATTTGCATATATTTCTCCGTTTAATTTTCCAGAACCAGAAAGAGGACCTTTGAGGATGACTGAACATACTTAGAGAATAAGGAAGATGACTTTGACAGAGCTAGACAGTGGAGCCTGGATATCTATCCTCTTATTCTCTCATGTCTTTACTAAGGTTTAGTTCTCAGGTGGCATCGGTAGATTAGAAAAAGACAGGAAGCACATTTTCCCTTTGACTTGGCAGAGCATTTCATATTTTATGGTAAGGATGGGGAATTTTAACAGTTTTGAGGTTCACCATTTGTAGATAAGCCATGACCCAGTCTAACAAGGCCTGGAGGAGCATCTTAAGATGTTCCATTGTCTTGTCTCCTGACCTTTTGGAAGGTCTCCAGAAGCTTCAAAAGCTGGCTTGTTTTGCATATTGCACCACGATCACAACATC